AATGTATATAGTATTATAGTAATTAAAATGTCTATAATAAAAATAACACTATCGATATTCATAGCATTAGTAAAAGAATAAATAAATAAATAAATAAATTTCCCACCAATTCAAGGAAAGGTATAATCAGGTAAGGTCAGAAAGTCTACTAATTGTCTCCTCTGTGGCTAAGCACTAGCAGAGCCATCTATATGCAGACACATTTCACAGAATAATAGAAAATGAGCACAGCATTTTCCTGGCAGCATTGGGTTAAGCGGCAGTCATAGGAGTAGGGATTTTCATTTCTAGCAGTGTGCAGCAACTCAGGTGGCCTGTATAAAGCTACTGCTGTTCAGCTGTGTGTACTGGGAAGGGATGTTTGAAATGGCCATCCAGAGGGGCAGTCCTTTTCCACATTATATCTGTAAATCCCTTGTAATGGCTACTAAGCTCCTTATGGAGGACATTAGCACATATATAACAATGACACTGTCTTGTCCATTGTTGATGACGCTGGTAATATTGCTGGGTTACTTTATATATATATTTTATGCTCTTTTTATCACCTTTAAAAAAAAAGTGTATGTGTACCACCAAAATTTTCTTATACACAAAATCAACTTCATAGCTTTATAACTTCTGTATAATTGGAGAATGATTAAGTTAGTCAGTCCAGGAATAGGTTGCCCTAGTTGCCATATTAATAACTTCTGTTAACACCATTTCTGAGTTTCAACTCCAAAGTCTGTCTCCCATTGTACAAGTTTTTGTGTTATTGATATTATTATTGTCCACTCTTTTTCTAATGCCATGTACTCATTTAATTGTTTTTACCCACAGTACAAAGATTTAGAAGAGGTGGTACTATGGATGAACACAGTAGGGCCATATCACAACAGGCAGGAGACCTACTCGTACTTCTCCCTGCCCTTCTGTGTGGGGCCCAAGGAGAAGATTTCCCACTACCACGAGACACTTGGGGAAGCTCTACAGGGGGTGGAACTCGAATTCTCAGGGTTGGACATTGACTTCAAGAGTGAGTGCCAGGGTGACCTTTTGCCCTTTTGTGTCAAGGATGTGGTTGTGAGTGTGCTCTTTCTTTTTGGCTTTGGGCTTTCCTGTTTTGCTTTGGTGTTTGACTTTGAAGACAAATTCCTCTTTGCCTATACAGTAAGTCCCCAACTTATGAACATAATGGGGACCGTGAGGCTGTTTGTAAGTTGATTTGTTTGGGTGTCCATTACCTTTATTCCCATAGTTTTAAAGTTTTGTTTACATTAAGAATACCTGTAAATAAATCCCAATAAGTACAACATACCTTATACAGTACCAGACTCTTGAACTATATTCGTGGCTGGGAAATTTGAAGTTTGCTAGCATCTTTCAAACAATGTTTTGGACTTTAGTACTTAAAAATTTTTGTTTGTATGTATGGAATGTTCATAAGTAGAATGTTCGTAAGTAGGGGATTATCTGTAGTTTGAGTTTGAGGGTATTCTTTTGTTTGTTTTGGTGGATCTGAGAGTGGATGTAAATTTGCCTTATTTAACCTAATGACTACGGATTTATGTACTGTCTCCAGTATTTTTTTTTTGTGAATTTTGTTACATACAGAGGGCTCCACATGTGCTCAGCCAGCAAGGAGTCCATCAGTAGGCCTTAGTGACCCCTGTTGATTTCCTCATTTCTTGAAATTATGGAAAAATGTGTTTTTCTTTCTAATACTTTTGATATCGATTATTAAATTTTATGAAAATTGTGGTAGTATTAAATACCATGATATAATACAAAAGAAATTTTCCAAAAATCAGGTAAACAGGTGAGATAGGTAGAACTAATAACTGACTCCTTGGTGACTAATCACTTGTTGAGTCATCTAAGTCTAAATATAATAAATTAACTTGGCATTTATTCTTGCTGTCTGTGCTGAATGGGTTAAGTGTGTGTGTGTGTGTGTGTGTGTGTGTCTGTGTCTGTGTCTGTGTCTGTGTCTGTGTCTGTGTCTGTGTCTGTGTCTGTGTCTGTGTGTGTGTGTGTGTGTGTGTGTGTGTGTGTGTGTGTGTGTGTGTGTGTGTGTGTGTGTGTGTGTGTGTGTGTGTGTGTGTGTGTGTGTGTGTTTGTTTGCTTTTGCATGTGGGTATAAGAGAGAGTACACTGTCATGATGGTCTACTGGTTAAAGTATTGGTGTTCAACCCTTGTGGGACACTAAGATCAAATCCTAGTAGTTGCAGTAGACAAAAGCTTAATGGCAGAGCACTAGCATTGCAATCACAAGGTCAGCTCCATTCAGTTAACTCGACTGTGATTAAGTATTGACTTCTAAATGCTGTGGTCAGAGTTGGGGCGGCATGGAACTGGCTATCCACCTCATCCCAGGACTTATAATGCATGTCCCTCAGCAAACATGCCACAGCTGTTCAGCAGCACGAAACATCTGTAGTATAATGATGTTAAGAGAGAGTTCTTATGTGATTGTGCTATTTGCTTTTATTTATAAGAGTGATTGCAAGTACATTTTCATACATTGGGAAGTACTAATTTACTTTTAATTTATGAACCCCTGAGTATGAGTGTTTTTTAATTAATCATACATAACAATTTATTTTGTAGAAAAGTTATAGCATACATTTAATTTTTGTCATCAAGATCTCATCTTAGAAACCATATTCTGTTTCAGCTGATGTGGCTAAAACTGTATATTGTGAGGTAGAGCTGGATGAAGTTCGACTCAAGACTTTTGTTTACGCCGTGAAGAACCACTACTGGTACCAGATGTACATCGATGACCTTCCCATTTGGGGTGAGACACAAGTCTTAGAGAAATTTTTGATTTTACTTTATGGTTAAAAGGGATTAAATAGATAAATAGATAAATAAATGTTGATTATTATTTGATAAACTTGTTGGTTGGCTAAGAAGTTACATATGGTTATCCATTATTTAAATAATGAAAATCAGCAATACCTTAAAATGTATGTTGAAAAAAATACAAAGATGGTACCACTAATAAAAACCATTTTCCCTCATAGGCATAGTAGGCGAAATTGACGAGGCCAATGATGCCTACTACATCTGGACACACAAGAAGTTTGATCTGGGCTACAATGGCAACCAGATTGTGGATGTGAACCTGACCTCAGAGTCCCGGCAGAAGCTGGAACTGGGGGCCAAGATCAAATTCACCTATGAGGTCAACTGGAAGAAGTCTGGGGTCAAGTTTGAGGACCGCTTTGACAAGTACCTTGATCCAAACTTTTTCCAGCATAGGGTAAGTGCAAGTGTTTCTTCCTTTTATCTTTTTAATGTGTCTCTCTTTGTCTGGTACCCTGTTCTTTTCTTTCTTGCATTTCATTTTATGCATACTATCCCTTCCTTCTTTTCTCTCATTCCTTACATTTATGCCAATGTATTTGTATATTCATTTGTTTATTAATTTTCTTATTCTTTTATTTGATTTATTGTTTCAACAGATTCACTGGTTCAGCATTTTCAACTCGTTCATGATGGTGATCTTCCTGGTGGGTCTCGTATCCATGATCCTCATGCGTACCCTGCGTAAGGACTATGCACGCTACTCCAAAGATGAGGAAATGGATGACATGGTGAGTGAAATTAGAGGAAAGGAGTAAAGATGAGGATAGGATGGTAGGTCAGATAATGAATTAAAGAGAGAGAAGGTGGAGTGAGTCTATGTACAATTGCAGTGTGTGAGGCTGGGAACCTAGTGGGGCCTCCAAGCCAAGTCAAGTCCTGCTGCAGTCTGAGGTTAGGAGGGGCATCTGCTAGGGATAATGTCTTACTGCAGTCTGAGCTTAGGAAGGGCATCTGCTGGGGGTAGTGTCTTACTGCAGTCTGAGCTTAGGACGGGCATCCGCTAGTGGTAATGTCCTACTGCAGTCTGAGGTTAGGAGGGGCACCTGCTAGGGGTAATGTAAACAGTTTGTGACATAAAACCAGTCATCACCTTATTTCTTGGCATATAAATTTCTAGAAGGGCAGGCTTGAAAAAATTGATATTTGTGGTTAGTTCATGTCAATTTCACTTTTTTATCATCCTTTGGAGAAGGTAAATGGTAAGGAGAAAAATTGTGAGAAAGAGATGCTGGAAGAAGCAAAGGGAAAAGGAAATTGCAAAGGAAAAGTAGAGGATGAGGAATAGGCATAGGACACTGAGTATTAGGTGGAAAGATGTTAAAGAAAATGGTAGGGGAAAAAAAAAAATCTTTTTACTTCAGATTAAAATGATTGTCCTGTTCTTAGTTTAGATCATACACAAACTTCCTTTTTATGGAGAGACATTGAATCCTCCTCCAACTCTGTTCCCCCCCTCCCAGGAGCGAGACCTGGGTGACGAATATGGCTGGAAGCAAGTCCATGGAGATGTGTTCCGCCCCCCCTCTCACCCCATGCTCTTCTCAGCGCTTGTGGGCTCAGGATACCAGATGCTCACCGTCACCTTCCTCGTCATCCTCCTGGCCATTGTTGGGGAACTGTACACAGAGTGAGTATGCATTGTGCTTGGGCTTTTGTGAAGATCCTCGCTGGCCAGAATGTTTCTATATATGTAGTTGTCTAGCTACAGGATGTCTGTTTGAAATGATTATAAAGTAATGGCTAAGTAGAATCACATATGCCCCTAAATTAACTGAAAAGTTGCCCTCTATAGGTGTAGCAAAAATGTGAGGGTTGAATCATTGTACCCCATCAGTAGCTCATCTGATATCAAGAAATACATTAGAGGCAGTTGTCAGACCATTTGTTTTTTTAACTATATAGATATTATATCATGATTAAAGCATTATGATATATAATGTCAGACTGCCATTTAGATATTTTGTGCATGCCTATGGTACAGAAAGGTCTGACTTCATTCCCTGTAATCATGACCTAAGAAATTAACAAAATAACTGTGTGGTAGTATCTGCTATCTGAAAGGGTATTCATATTTATTTGGCTTTACAAATGGTATTGATAGTTGCTATTCATTTCATATGGAAATGATGCACTGTTAACCACCATGTTTCTAGGGCATGATAATTCAACTATAAGATTAGTGCATCTTGACTATAGTCATCTGATTCATGACAACTTGTTGCCTTCTCAAGGGTAAATGGGGATGTGAGATTAATGTTGTCTCTGTGTTGATTGAGCTTACTGAAAATATGAGGTCTTGTTAGGGTTTATGTAGCATACATATTTTCCTTAGTATGTTCAGTGTATTTAGCTTTCTATGTGCATGATAATGTATATGACCAAGAGTTACCCCTAATACTAGATAACCAAAGAGGTAAATATTTTTAACTGTATAAATGTTTTATACAAAAATAATTTTTATATGCTCCTTTGTTCACATGTACTTCTCTACCTTTCTCCCCAACAAACATCAGACGAGGGTCTATGGTCAGCATTGCCATCTTCATCTATGCTGCCACATCACCTGTAAATGGCTACTTTGGAGGCTCGTTATATGCACGGATGGGAGGTGAGTGTTCTATCTTTGGTTTATTGAATTAGAAAAAGAGAGATGGGAATGTCTTTTAGGAATTGTGGAATGCCTCCTGTCCTTTTTTTTATTCCCATTCCTTTTATATCCATTCTAACTGAGGTCCCCCCCCCCCCCCAAAAAAAAAAAAAAAAAAAAAAAAATAGACAATCAGGATTTACAATGTATCCCATCTGATCCCCAGGGGAAAAGACTGAATTCATAAAGCTTTTCTAGAACTTTCCCTGGATCTTTAAAACTTTCAAGCCAGGACTCTGACATAGGGCAAGAGGTCAATCTAGCAACTAGGTCACTCACAGGATTGAATGTTAGGAATCTCTAGCTTACTGAAGTGATACACATTTATTGTGCGATGGCTATGGGGTTATGTCTTGTGCAAGGGTTTAATATTTCCAACTCTATTCTGAACCTCTTAAACCTCTTACCTTGCTATAAAATTCATGGTAGCAAACTAGATTATAGATAAAAACAGGGTCATGGAATGGCCAGCTCACTACAGTAGCTGGTATAGGACCAGCCAAAGCAATGAGCACATAGAAACGGGGAAGGAAAAGAAGTGATTACACCTGTTGTCCCAAGGAGCAGTGTTTTCAAGTGCTGGGCCCTGTGCATATTTGCTGGGCCACATGTCTAGCAGTTATAACAGCTGACTCAACTAGGTACATCTATGGGCGTTGTGGCAGGCTAGAGCACGCTGAGTGGAAAATTCCATTACATGTAGCAGACTTCTGGGCCAAACAGCAAGATGGTTGCCAGAAGCCTCCTGAGCCAGTGACACAGAGATTTTTGATACCGTCATTAACCCATTGCCGCCGGGGAAAATGCTGTGCCTATTTTCTATATTTTTTTGTGAAATGTCTCCCCATAGATGGTTCTGTTAGTGCCTGATTTGAAATGGTGGGAAAAACATATTTTTCACTAGTGCCATGAATATCGATGGTGTTATTTTTATTATAAACATTATAATTATTATAATGTTTTTTAATATTAGTAACAGCAAAATAAGATCACGTAACGTAATATTTCGTGAATCAAAGAAAAGGGTAAACGGGCGAGACAGGCAGTACTTGTAACTGGCTCATTGGTGATTTAGTAACAAGTGTAGCCATCTATGTGTAAAAACAATCAAACAAGTAATCTCACAGTGGGCATGGCATGGCATGCCCGTCAGCAATGGGTTAAAGGCTTAAACAGCTAGATTTGGCTATTTGATTTCTGTCCACTGCTATGAGCCAGCTTGTAAAGTTTTTGTGCATGTGTTATGTGATCCAGTAACTCTGACAGCATGGTTGGCTGTTTAGATTAGAGGTATTAAGGTCACCCCTTCCTATAGAAATAAGCTAAACCACTCTAATGGCCCATCATCTATCTGTAAAGCCAGGAATGTGGCCCATCAGTTCAAGGAAGTAAATAATGATAAATGACAATTATCCTTCTCAGTTATGTGTGGTGCATGGTATGGTAGAGTGCAAAAGTAATTTTACTGATCAGTTGAATGGCTCTTCATTCATCCTGTGAACTTTTTATTTTGAAGGAGTCAAACAAAATCTGGAATATCTATCCAAATGATTACTTCTCCTAATATTTACTTCTACCATCATTATCACTTCCTTCATTTGCCATCGTACCAGTCATTAACACCTCCCATTACCTTAACAGGGAAAGTTTGGATTCGACAGATGATGATGTCGGCATTCATGCTGCCATCCCTTGTGTGTGGCACTGCTTTCTTCATCAACTTCATTGCTATCTACTACCATGCCTCTAGAGCCATTGCCTTCACTATTATGGTAAGTCACTGGTTGGTGTTATTCATGTTGAGTGTTAAGGGATTAGTGATGGGTGCAGGTGGATGAGTGATCGACTGAATGTAGGATCAATTGAATGATGGAGCAATTGTGAGCAAGAAAGCAAGGGAGAGAGCAAGGAAGCGGGCAAGTGGGTAAATGAGAGAGTAAGTGACTCTGTGCATGCATGCGTGCATGTGTGCAAGCATATGCATATATGTGTATGTCATGACATTGGTGGAATCCTTTTTCCATGGCATGCAGAATTGAGATATTAATATTTATTGGTATAGGAAGTGAGGAAGTGAATGACTTAATTTAATATCTTCTTTTATTTCAATCTGCACCAAGAATTCACAATACATCTTCAGGCATTTCTCTGTCACATACTGACCTTAGAATGCGCATGCCTTCATGGTAAGTGTGAGTGAAAAGAAGCCATTCATTGTCTTGCAGATGGTGGGTACACAGTGGGTGACTAGTAGTAAACTCTGACAGAGACAGCGCTGTTTATGGTGTCTCATCTGATGTGGGGTGCCCAGAGGGTATGTATTTCTAACCCCAATGTGTGTGACAGAAGTCTTTGTTGTTTGTCCACTCAGCTGGCCGTCATCTGTATCTGCACTTTCGTCATCCTCCCCCTCACCCTTGTGGGCACAGTACTGGGCCGAAACCTAGCTGGGCAGCCCAACTACCCCTGCCGCATCAACGCAGTTCCACGGCCCATCCCTGAGAAGAAGTGGTTCATGGAGCCTTTGGTTATCATCCCCCTGGGGGGTATACTACCCTTTGGCTCCATTTTTATTGAAATGTGAGTGTTTGTCCTTTTTTTGATGACTTCAGTTGGATCTAGATTTTTTTAGCACAAAAGTTTATTCTGATAATGGTTATTTTTAACCTTGTTCTTATTATGGTCATGCTTGTTAACCTTTTTATCATCAGTTTTATAGTTATTGCTTCAACTTTTCAAGGGCAGTGTAGGTAAATGCCAAGTCGATGGCAATTTTAGTCTATTGATTTTGTATTTACACATAGATGACTCCACAAATGATTAATTAGTAAGGAGTCAGTTACTAGATGTACTGAATTCCACCTATTTACTCTTCTTCTGAAATTCTCATATTTTTTTATATATTTTACTATTCTTAGAAGTGTTAATAATGGTATGATAATAATTATATCAGTGATAATGATAACTTGAATTATAATATTAGAACTAATAACTTTTCCCTCAAAAATCAAGGAATGTGGTAAACAGGCAGGGTTAAGTATGCATATCAATTGACTCCTTGATGACTAGGTTCTTGTGAAGCCATGTGTATGTAAACAAAACAAGTGAAACAAATCTACAGTGGACAGTTCATGAACCTGGCTTATATAGGCTAATTATTACAGTTACTGTTGTCACCATAATTGTATGTTCCCCCCAGGTATTTCATCTTCACCTCCTTCTGGGCCTACAAGATTTACTATGTGTATGGCTTCATGTTGCTGGTGTTCCTGATCCTCCTAGTGGTGGTTGTATGTGTCACCATAGTGTGTGCGTACTTCTTGCTCAATGCAGAGGACTACCGGTGGCAGTGGACCAGCTTCTTAGCGGCTGCTTCTACTGCTGGCTACGTATACCTCTATGCCACCTATTACTTCTTTTTCAAAACGAAGTGAGTGTTGCCTTTGTTCGTTTATCTCTTTTCGTTTCTTGTACTACAATTTTGTCTGAAATATTGTTGACCACCACTCTCTCTCTGTATCATTATTATTATTATAAATGATTTATTATTCTCTTTTCTTCAGGATGTATGGCTTCTTCCAGACCAGTTTTTATTTTGGTTACATGGCCCTGTTCAGCGTCACCCTGGGCATCATGTGCGGCACCATTGGCTATGTAGGCACCAGCAAGTTTGTGCGGAAGATATATTCCACCGTTAAGATAGATTAAAGCAGGAGACCATCTTGCGGTTTGTGACAGACAACAGACTACTGCTTCATAAGGACAGACAATAGCATATCTTTGAAAAAGGCACAGTAGTATTCCCCATACATACTTGAAAGAATTCCAGATACCTGAAAAAAAAAAAAAAAAAAAAAGTTTGGAAAAAAAAAAGTACCACACTTAAAAAAGAGAAGATTGGAAAAAGCCATGTGCCACACTGGTGTGAGATGAGCCACTAGGAAAATAATCCCTTGAGGGGGTCGAGTCTAGCACAAAAACTTACTACACGATCTGTGGCCTCATCTGTTAAGTCACCCGTGACACTGCGGAGAGGTTCTCTCCCCCCTTTACAATGGCGACGCCCAGATGTGATATTGAGAATGTAGTGTAGACAGAAAGTGTGTTTATCTTGGATCCTTTTAGAGAGAGAGAGAGAGAGAAAATTCCTTCAGCCTTAGGAGTCTGTTAACCTGTTAGTCTCAGACAATTTTTTATATAGAATACCCGCTACTGCAGCAAGTGACATTGAGTTGAAGGAGGATTCCTCTCCCTCCTCCCCTAGACACATGCGCATCCTTTGGCGAGACAATATTGCGAAGAGGAGATATTGCGTGAACTCCCCTAGAAGGTGTCCAGCAAGTGTGTATGAACATGGCTAGATTGTAGATTGACGTCCAGTTATATGGGTATTTTGATTCCTTGTTTTCTTCTTTTCTCTTGCTTTCTTTTCTCTGTTTTTGTTTTTATTGATTAGAAGATACATTCAATTACTATTGATAGTGTGGACTATATCAGGATCTTGATTTTTATTTATTTATTTTTTTTATACTTTTAAACATTGAAATATAATTAATGATAAAAAAATAATAATCACTTGTTATTTATAACATGGCAGGTACTAAATGGAAATCTTGTTAGAAATATAGGAAGGAATAGTGGGGGAGAAATTTATTGCCATGGTTAAGTTTTATATACTGTTTACATAGATATATTTAATTTTATGTGTGGCGTTAATTAATAAAAAGCCACTTCTCCTTATTTATTTGACAGATGATCAGTGACATTGCTTTACCAGTGCTTAAGTTATAAAAGTTTGAAGCAAAACTTGTGTGTGTGTTTGTGCATCGGCTGTTGGTAACTGGTTGTAGATTATTTCTTTTTACAAATTAAAAAAATGAAAAATAAAAAAGTTGACCACATTTCTGATCAGTGTGTCTCTCTCTGCAACAAACTGTTTAAAGACTTTTTTTTTTTCTCTCTCTCTTTATTTATATATACCTAATAGATATATATTTCTTGTTTATAAAGAGCAAACTTTACATCTTGTGCATTTTTTTCCCCTCCCCTCCCCTGAGTGAAAGTTTCTGAATTATACTGGAATGGATCTGCACGGGCATCGGAGAAGGGTTGTGTTTTTACGCCCGGAAGTTTTATTAAAGTGTTATGTCCTTTTGAGATAGTGCTGTAACCCCAGAAATACAAGTTTTGTAGGTAAATTGGTAAAATTGTTAGTGTGTTGTTTTTTTTATTTGAAAATTTTCTAGTTTTTGTTCCTTTTTTTTTTTACCTGTTTTAGAATGATGTATATTTATTTCTATGATTTATTTTTAGATGTTTTGTCAGCACAAATACTTGCTGCATTCCCAGGCAACATATTTTTCTCTATGCTGTTGTACATATAAGTATATATCACATCAAAGATGCCTTCCTTTCGAGAGCGGAACAATGGGCTCTTTTTTTGTGATTAGTGTCGGGGTTAAAAATGCAGTGAAGAGAAGAGCCAATGAAGATGTGGTTCTGAGAAAGTTGTGTTGTGCAAAGTGCCAGCACACACTACAGTCACTGTATCCCTGGCCCATAGTTTTGATAACTAGATTAATATATATGCAGATTAATTCCGTGGTTTTTGCCTACCCCTCTCGTATCTTGTGTGGCTTTACTCGCGGAGATGATTGGAAATCATTCATATTCAGGTTCATAATACTGTTTGTATGTCAAGTGGGTAACCTGCAACTCCTCTGTCCTTCCCCCACCACCATCCTTTCCACCTGAGAATGCCTGTGCTAAGAATCAAATTGATTCTCTTAAGGCAAGAAAATATTCTTCACTTTAATGAAAAAGTGAGTGATAATGTGTTTGGGTGGTGTTTTAGCAATAGCAAATGATAATGATGAGAGGGATGCTTTGCTCCCAATGTGCTTAATTGTGATGAGTATTCATAAAGTAATTATTTTCTTTTGCATATTAAAATATTTTTGAGAGAGAAAAGAAAAGGTTCCCTCCTCACCCCAACCCACCCATCATGTTGAACAAAAGGAGTGATTGGTTGACAGAATGATTGCCATTTTTCCTTTTTTCATACCATATTCTCTATAAAACTGATTGAAATTGGAGTGAACTACTTCTTCAATTCTTCCATACGTCTCAATGTAACTTGCTCTCCTTTTTCATGTGTTCATCTCATCTGGCAGTTTTGATTCTGTGTGCAAGTTAAGCTAACATAAGATTCTTATACAGACAATGTATGTGCTGAATAAATCATTCCAGTAAGTTGCTTTATTACTGTTTCCTAGTAAAGGGTTTGTGTTTATTTCTCTTTTTAGAGTTTTTCTAGGATTATTTTTCATTTATTTATGCTAGAAGTGAATGGTATGTGATTATAAATTTGATATCTTGTTCTACTATGGTGATTATTATTATTATTACATTTAATTAGTTTTTCAATCCAGAGCAAAGAGATCATTCTTATTTCAGGAAGTTCTTGTCCTGCTTTAAGTGTCACAAATCTCATTTGTTTAAATGAGACACACCATTAACCCATCTATGACTGGTACCTCCAAGTGAAAATGCACAATTTCCAGGTAATAGCTATAGCAATGACTGCCCGCTGCTGGGGACACATGGTAGACAACTCACTGGAGGGTAAGCCAAGAACACATTTCTTGTAGATGAGGCCACCATCTGTTCTGGATGTCATTGCTGGATTAACTTTTGACTATTACTTTAATTTAAAATTCTACTTCAAATGAATTTTATAAGCCTCTATTGACATAAGTACTATATCTGAAACTATCTTTTACATTAAAGAAAAACCTTGCTGCTGCCTCCAAATCATATAAACTCTGTCCCATATATCCTGGGGCTCAGATTGCAAAACTCTCCTCTATCCTCATGTTACCTTGATTCTCTCCACTCTCGATTATGGATGCCTTATCTACTCCTCTGCTTTAACCTCACCCCTTGCTCATCTTGATACAATCCACCACTGCAGTCTTCACTTAGCCCTAGGTGCCTTCTGCTACTCTCCAGTTGAGAGCCTGCACACTGAATCAGGCATACCATCTCTCTCTCAACGTTGTACCCTTCTCTTTCTCCAATGCTATGCTCGATTCCACAAACTTTCCCTCACCAAACTAAATATCCCATGATCCCTGCTTCCTTCCTTTGTTTCTTCTCCATGTTTACCTACTCCTTTCTTCATTCACATGGATACCCTCCTCTCCAATTCCCCTTTTCCCGATCTCTGACCTCATCTATTTTCTGTCTATTCTGTCCCTCCATGGCTTATGCCTTATGCCCGTATTTGCTCCTCTGTTTTCCCAGACTCACCAAAATTAGATATCCTCCCTTCTGTCCTACTATCCCATTTCCTTGACCATATCTCCTTTCATTCCTCCAGTATTCATGTTTACATGAATGGCTCTAAATCCACCTCCGGTGCTGGTATTGCAGTAATCTTCCCATCTTGCACTGTCAAATACCCCCTCATTCCTGAAGCCAGTGTCCTTACTACAGAATTGTATGTACTCCTTTTTGCCTTAAAACACATGTACTCACTCCCTTCTTGTTCTTTCACTATGTTTACTGCCTCCCATAATTCATTAACTCATAAAGTCAGTGCACTCGACCAACCCCCTTGTCTGTGAGAACCATAACTGGTAGTTCTACCTGTCCACACGCCATAAAGCTATCAAATTTTGCTGGGTGCCTAGCCATGTTGGAATCCCTGGCAATGAACAGGCAGATACACCTAGCACACTATGCTGCTATGTACACATCACACCAACCATGTTTCTCACATATTCTAGCCACGGATTATTACCCGCACTTAAAGAGCTTGTTGTATAACTGATAGCAATCTTACCGGTCAAGTTTCTGCACTAGTAAATTACATACTGTAAAATAATCAATCTCCTGGTCAGCTCCATTTCATCGGAACAGACGTTGGGAGACAGCTCTCACCCGCTTACATATTGACCACACCCATCTAATACACTCTTACCTGATGTCACATTCTGATCCACCCCTATGTTCCCTGTGTAATGTTCCTCACATTGTTGTCCTGTCCACACGTTGATGCAGCCCGTACCTCTGCTTCCCCCACCTATCCTCCCTTCACTGATCTCCCAACCTATCAGACATCCTTACAGAATCTCTCACTTTCTGCTTTGACAACCTGTTCCCCTTCTTCAGACGCATACATATCCTTCACTTGATCTAATCCCCTTACCTAACCCTACCTTAGCCCATTCACTCATCAACTCCTTTACCAATTTTTAACCTTTTCAATATTAATCTAGATGATTGATGTATAACAACTAACTACTAATTCAACTGGAGATGGAGACTGAGGCTCAATGTAGGGGATGATCCCTGCCTTGAACCTTGGTCCTCACCCCAACTAACTTTGCATGGTCTTTTCTTCTTCACCATACCTTTTCCTACTCTTCATCCTCATCTTTTGTCCACTTATCCTAATTGTTAACTCATTTTTCGCCTTTTTGCCACAATACTATATCATATCGCTATGTGACCTTTGATATCAGGCACATTTTATTGTTTTATCACCAACCATTAACCATTCATGAACAGAGGTCATTACATCGTCTATGTCATAAAAGTATGAATGGGAATGAATAATTTAAATATGCCAAAAATGTGTGATATTACAGAATTAAATTGTAAATTTAACTAATTAGATACAGTATATTGTATACAATTTTGATTAATTTTCACTTA